TACAATCCGAATAAGATAAAAAATTTTTGGGGCATGCACTATATAGCACATATAGCGCAGCGTTAAATAAAATTTTTGACGAAATCTTTTCCGTTTTAGTTTATAAGGAAATGTAGCGTGTCACAAGTAAAGGCGAAACCAATAAGAAAGAAGACCCGTATCCAACTTTAAACTTTTATGGAAATAATCTACGGTGCACGGGCAAAGAAGAAGAGGAAAAACCTATAGATTTGAAAATCAGGCAGACGATCACAAAAATGCGCAATAGTTACAGATTTCGAGACTACTCTATTAAAGATTTCATATGATCAAAGAATTTCGTAATGCGCGGTAACCAATCAAAAACGTTTATCAGCATACAGGAAATAACTAATTCAGTATGTCGTAATCAGTAACGCTCGCCAAGTAGTTTTAATTTAGAATGTTTCAATACTGTAATTAGTAACTTTAATAAGTATTTTATCCAGAATGTTAAATGTAAATTGACCATCAAAATTGGATCATGCTCCACATTATGATCACGTTTTTTTTTTGGATACAGTTTGCCAATCCAAAATGGTAACTCAAAATTCCCATACCGATACGTACTCGATCACATTTTCTGAATACCAATCAAAAATGTTAAAGCGCACGAACCCAAAATTAAACATAGAAAAATAGATCGTCAAAAGCCAGGTAGTACTTTACATGCATCACGTGATTTTTAATTACAAATTTGTTAATAATCAATTTAAAAACTAACTGGCTTTAGCCGTAATTTTATGTTATTTTCGGTTACCCGCATAACAAATGTAACAAATGTTGTACGTCCGTATGTACATACATACGTACGTAATTAATTTCCCCATGTTTCAGATTTCGGATCTAATCCAATCAAAAATGTTAAAACCTACAAACTTAAGCCGGCACCATACACTTCGTGAAATTTTCAATATCACTCTGTTCCTGATACGTACGTATATCTTTTGTTTTTTTCATTACAGCCATTGCAGAGCAGATGCAAATAGCAAGTCAAGTACAAATGCAAGAACAATTGCATGTTTAGATAGACTAAACAAACCGCTTTAATTTGTGTGATGCTCAAAACAGTTTGTACTATCGCTATTATATTATATAATAAGTTCCTAACTGTATTAATGTAGTACATATAATAACTGCTTAATTTTATTATTCGTTATTCTATGTAAATCATTGCGCAATTGGTAACGGAAATTTCTTACGGATTTGTATTAAGATTTTCGGAAAATATTAATTGATAAAACAAATAAATTTTTGAATAATAAATATTTTTAAATAAAAATTTTAAGCAAATTTCTATCTTACATTCTAATACTTTATCTGTCAAAAAACTAAATAATCCAATCTCTTTAAAGTAATATTGATATGGGATGTTTTTCTTCTAATTTAAGTGAAAATAACGATTCTATTGATTTACAAAGCATACAAACAGAATTTCGATTCAATGATGGTAGAAGATATCATAACGCAGAAAATGCTGTATACCAATTACCGAACGATGAATATGAAACAGATAGGCTACATATACAACATTTCTTACTAAGATACCTCTTGCAAAGCAATTTTTCTGCTCCTATCGAACATATTTTGTCTGAACCAGGTGCCAAAGTCCTAGATGTGGGGTATGTATGGGAATATCATTACATATAATGCCACGGATCATAATGAAATCGGATTAAAATGAAATGAGAGTTTCTATTTGACCAACTAAACTCCTTTTTTATTGTGAATTCTACCCCAATCCCTAGTTCTAACCCTAAAAAAAATGGTAAAAAATACACTCCAAACATTTATATTTTCAGTGGCTCGTCTATTTGGCGCTATCACTCATTTCATTTTAATCAATCACAATGCGACCCTATATAAGTGACGGCAGTAATGTTCCGGACGCCTGTCCATGGACATGGACATGGAAATTGACACTCTATAGTCTCTCTAGGCCCAAGTCCATCAATAACACTGGGTGACGGGATACGAAAACCTGTAAATCATTTCATTCATTATCTTCGCAGTGATATATGCTCTAATTCTTATAGAGGTAGATATCACTGCGATGACAACGAGTGGAATTATTTGCAGGTTTTCATATCTCGTCACTCTTATATAATCTGTGTGTTGCCAAGTGAAAACCCGGAATTTTACTATTGAAATTTAGATAATTTTACTAAAAACTCTAAAAGAAAAATATTTTTAACGTTAACATATATTTTATTTTAGGTGTGGCCCAGGTTCATGGTCATTTGATATTGCAACTACGTGAGTATTTTCTGAATAAATAATTATGCATTTTTATTTTATTGCACAGCTTTTCGATTTCCATATTTGGAAGAGTATATAAAAAGTTAGTTTGTGTTAAGGTTGGGACAAATTTCATAGATAAAATTACTATCCTGGCATTATTCAAGGTAGGTTTAGAACTCATTTCTTGCATTTTTTATCTTTTTGCTTGCTTTTTTTATTTTGCATCTTAAAATTTATTATTTAATTGTTATAGATCTCCCAATAAGGAATGCGAAAGACAATGTGGTCTTTTAGCTCTTAAACTTATTTAATGTTTTTTTTAGGTATCCGTTAACTAAGGTTATTGGAATAGATATATCTCCACATCAGCCATCTCAGATAAAACCTAAAAATTTTGAGTTCATTAAAGCAAATGTTCTAGAAAGATTACCATTTGATGATAATACTTTTGATTTTGTATTTCAACGGCTTATGAACATTGGATACACTAAAGAGAAATGGCCAGAAGTAATAAATGAGCTTGTCAGAGTTTTAAAACCAGGTGGATTCTTAGAAGTATGTTTATTTGAAAAATCAATATGCTGTTTATTAATATTTTGCAATAAGTATTTTTGATCATTTATTTTTCAAAAGTTATGTGAACCTTCATTTCCATTTGATGAAGGACCAGCTACTCAACGTATATGGAATTATGCTGGTGGTGTGTATCTTAAGATTATCTAATTTTTTATTCTTTTATTTACATACTGTCTATTCAATTATTACAAAGCAGCTGAAATATTAAAAGAACAAAGCAGTGATTTGAATGCATACCAAAAATTAGATCAATTTTTACAAAACCAAGGTTTTTACACTTTGTACGATTTTATATTATACTTTTTATGATTTTATAGATAATTTTAATGTTAATACTTATGTATTTTCTAAATTAGGTCAATTAGAAAATATTAAAAAAGAAGTAAAAAAGGTCTATTATGGTATAAAACACAACAATATTGAGCTTAGTAAAGCGGTATGTATTGTATACAACCTGAATTATTTAATGTAATATTCTTTAAAAAGTTTTTAAAAATATATAAATATATAAATTTACAGATTATCGATAACATAGTTTCTGTGGCAAATTCTTTTAAACCTGTTTTAACAAAAAAACTGCAAATTTCTAATGAAAAATTTGATGAGTTGGTCAAAATATCAGAAAAAGAATTAACTGAACATGATGCTTATTATTATTGGGTTCGTGCTTATGCGAATAAAGTTAATGAAAATAATAATTAATCAAAAATTATATATTTAATTTTATAAATATTAAAATCAATATATATATATAGGATGATTTAAACATAATAGATAAGGCCATACAAAGTTAATTTTTTGGTTCTCATAACATGAGACAAAAAAAATAACCCGCCCGCCCGGACTTTTATTTAAAAATTTTATATATAAAAAATTTTAAATTTTAGGCCACGCAAAGTTGATTTTTCATTTTGCATTACATGGATTTCAAAATTAGGGACAGACGAACGGATTTTTTTTTTTTTAATTCAATTTACTGCAAATAAAATAATGATCACATTTAAGGTTATATTTGATAACAAGGAATCAAAAAATTAGGCCAGCAGTCATATTTTTCCTGTCAGTCCTATCGGACAATTACGGCCTCCATCGGGTGATACCGGATGAAAATAGTGGGAAAAAATAGATGTCATAAATCGAACAATTGGCATAATTGGGATCTAAAAAAAAAAAAAAAATTTTGAAAAATTAAAAAAATGGGACGGCAGGTAATGCAAAACGAAAAATCAACTTTGCGTGGCTTATAAAAATTTTTTTGAAATCCCACCCGCCTATTAAAACATATAAAATTTTTTTTCAAAAAAATAGTCAAGAGAACCAAAAAATTAAGTTTATATATGGCCTAATGAATACCTTAGTATTAAATTTCAAATACAAAATTATAGTATTAATATTATTATAACACTACTCCAAATGAAAAAATCAATATCAGTTCAGACTAGTTGAAACTATATTAATAGGCTGATGAATGTGCCGAATGTATGCTGGCAATTGTCGATATTCTGCAAATATTCTTCAAGCATTCTGCAAGTTCGGACAATATTCATCTAGTTTGCTGGCTGAATACTTTCAGAATTCCGACAAAAACTAGTATACATTCAGCACATTCGGTAGTCCATTAATATAGTTTCAACTAGTGTAAATTGATGCTAATTTTTTTTAATTTGGCCTAGTGTAATTAAATAATAATTAAACAAGAAATTAAATTTTATTTGAAGATAATTATACCAGGAACAGAGTACAAAGTATATAGTGTATGGTTTACAGGCGAGTTAAGTGGAGTCAAGGATTCTGGGCATCTGATTGTGTAAAAACTCCTTGTGGCTTTTTTATAGCACCCCAAACAATACTAAAAACTTTACAGAACTTAAATTTCTTAGGGCGCAGTAACTGCATAGTAATGATATAATTATATAATTACTACATAGTTATCATGTAGTTACTGCGATTTAAGAATTTAAGTTTCTGCATAGAAGGTTAATAAAAAATAACAATTTAATTTTTATGGGATGCTTTGAATGAAGTCACGAGGCATCCATTTGTCATGAAATCATGATGATATAGAATTAGCATTTGTAAGTATGATGTACTGGGTTGTGAATATCAATCTGAATTGAGTAAATATGAACTATTTAAGAGAGGGAAAAACATAAATTTGTTATTTATCTTTTGTCTTTAATGCAAGCCTAGTTTTGTTAAAAGGACCCACTACCAGGTGTGGTGAAAAAATGGAAGAGAAAAAGAGAAGGTGAGATTGACTGACAAGGAGGTTTCAGTAGCCCGGGTGGACAACCCGAATATTCGAGAGTAAAAAGTAAAATTAACTAGTTATAGGAATGGGTTTCGGGAGCTCAGATCAACAACCCGGATATTGAAAGAGTAAATTTGACTAGTTGCAGTGTTGGAAATTTTATGTTTTCATGTTCTCATGAGAACATAGAGAACATTTAATATTCTGTAGATATTCTCTATTAAAGAGAACATAATACTCAAAAAATATGTTCTCTATATAAGAATTATATAAATATAATAGCATAGTGCCAGATGGAAATAAAATTAGGAATCGAACGAAGTTCCAAAATCATCCGAAAAGAAGATGAATGAACATAAAATCTGAAAAGAAAATGAATGAACATAAAGACGTGAAACAAAAATTCGAATAAATGACCGATATTTTCCGAAATTTAAAAATAGTGATATAAATAAATTTTATTATTGAAAACATAAATAAATTTTTGAGAACATTAAATTTAGGGTGTTCTCAAGTGCCTTAGTCAATCGATCGGAATAGGGTCGGGGGCAAATTTTAATTAATAAAAAATT